GCTGCTCTCTTCCTGAGGCAAAAAGGTTGTTGCTCAACTCCTTGGATTTTCCATCACGGCAGAGCAGGGAAAGAGGCTGGGAGTGTCTCCTCTGAGCAGGTCCTTTTAAAGCCTCTTGGCTAGACTGGTTTCCTCTTTAGAGCCAAACAAGCGGTGCCCAGTGGACTTAACCCCTCTGCTCCCAACACATTTACCCAGAGATAGAAGGGCCTCAGTGCCCAGGCTCCTGGAAGGCAGTACTACTCAGGGCAAAAGGCCTAAGGAGCCGTGAACTCTGGCTGGAGAAACCTTCCCCCAGCCTTGTTAAATCCAACAGGCATAATTGCATCCTGCTGACCTTAATTCCCCTGGCTGGGTTTAATTGGTGCTGGCATTGCCCCACTTCTGGTCCTGTCCCTGTAGAGACAAAGAGGGTGCCTGCACAGCTGGTGTGGGGTGGGCAGGGGCACTGGCAGCCCCCAGCTGGGTGGAGATTTCCCTGTGCCCCACCCCTGTGCCTCCAAGGGAGATTTGAGAAGAAGCTTGGGGACTCCCTGGGAACAGCTGGCTGGATCAGGCAATCCCAAGGATCAGAACCAGGCCAGCCTCGTGTCCCAGCAGAAGGCACTGTGACAGAGTGGACAGGAATAGCCGGGGCCTCTAACCAAGGTTTCCACCACATTTGGAGCCCCTTGGATCCACAGCACTAGGCTAAGCACTGCCCCAGCCACCCTGTCAGTTAGTGGAAGGTAATAGGGTAGAGTGATTATAAGCTAAGCCTTGGGTGAGTTAGATGGTTCCAATCCCAACTTTGTGATTTGGCCCTGTGACTCAGTTTTCCTGCCACATCTGTGAAATGGGATGGAATTGCTGACACTCCTGAACCACCCTAAATGCTTTGTTTTACAAAGCTTCCCCAAACAGGAAGCCCATGAAGGCACTTGGAAGCCACACAGTTTGGAGATTGCAGGACTTCACGGCCCAATGAACAGGACAGTCAAAACACACATCAAGTTATTGACCTCAGCGCCTGGCCTATTTAGCAGAGTTCAGTAAGTCTTAGTTGTTTCTATTTGAGAATCATAACAGTAACACAATTAGCAAGTAAAGCCCCATAAATTGTCCTAGCCTAACTTTTGGTCTCACTGAGAAGTCTCTCTGGATTTGAATCTCTGTAAAGCCACTTACTAAGCTTTGTGACTTTGGGGACAAGCCACTTACCCTCTCTAAGCATCAGTCTTTGTGATTCAAGTGCAGAGCAACAATCTTGAGCAAAAAAGCCAAGCAAGCTAAGGGTCTCATGCCTGTAATCTTAGCTACTCAGGAGGCTGTGAACTGAGGGTCAAGGTTCAAAGCCAGCCTGGGCAGGAAAGTCTGTGAAATTTTTATATCCAATTAATCACCACAAAGCCAGAAGTAGAGCTGCGATTCCAGCAAAAAGTTGTCCCTTGAGTAAAAAAGGGAGAATGTCCAAGCCCTGAATTCAAGCCCCAGGACTGGTGCATGAACATGCGTGCACGTGGACACGCACACATACATACACACACACACACACACACACACACAGACACACACACACACACACAAAGTCAAGCAAGTAGGAGAGGCCCTGAACTCAAGCCCTAGCATGGTCTCTTATGAAGGTCTAGGAAGCTGGGTAAAGCCCTTGGCATAGTTGGGCCTGGCCTGTAGTGGACGGCACTCAGTGTCTAACTGCTGATAACCACAGTGACAGTCACATATGTCAGTAGGGGTAAAGTAATGCTCTAAACTCCAGGCTGGAGCCTCGTAGCCACTCAGACATTACTCATCAAATACTGATTGACAGTCATGTTCAGTCAGTGCTGGGGATACAGGTATCACGTGCCCAGACTATCAACCCATGGTGGGATCAGCCTGGGGCATTGAAGGGGGTGGGCATGGCCAACATTTCCAGAAAGTTCCAATCATAGGCAAGGACAGGAACCATTTTGCCCTTCAGAATGCTGATATCCATAGGGTTGGGTGCGGGGGTGGTAGCCGGCAGGGAGAAGGGAACAAGGTACGTCCTGGGAAATTTTAGTGAGGAAAGAATACTTTGAAAAAGTACATTTAGGACCATAATATATATCTATATGTATATACGCATATATACATATACACACATATATGTATATATACACACACACACGTGTGTGTGTGTGTGTGTGTGGTGTGTTTCAGTGCTGGGAATAAACCACAGGCCTCATGCTTGGGCTGAGCAAGTGCTCTACCACTGAGCTCCACCTCCAGCCCTCCCTTCTTTGCTGACTTTAGGTAAGCTACCCATTCCTTTAACTCCAGAAAATGGGGTAAGCATAGCTCACAGAGATAACCCAGATGATGTGTGGACAAGATGGATAAAGCCAAAGGTGGGTGCTCAGTGAATAGGAGCTCCTACCATTAGGTCAGGCTCCAGCTCAGGTACTCCTAAGCCAGCTGCTTTTGGGTAAGTTATTCAACCTTGCCTCACTTTCCCTTGGTAGAAATCCTTGCCTCACAGGAGTATGAGTGAATGATCTACAAAGAGCCAGGCCATTGCACACTGCAAGTGTTACACAGGCACCTGGAAGAGGCAGGTAGTCAAATAGACTTTGAAAAAGAAATGGAAGAGAGGAGGGCCAGGCTTAGAGGAGGGCCAGACTACCCACCCAGTCCAGACTGGAACAGGAGCTCCGACTCTGATTTTACTGGTTTGTATCAAGAACCTTGCTTCTGAGCTAGGTGCTGGTGGTTTATGTCTGTGACCCTACCACCTACTCAGAAGGCTGAGATCTGAGGATCACAGTTCAAAGCCAGCCAGAGCGGGAAAGGCTGTGAAATTTTTATCTCCAACAAATTACTCAGAAAATACCAGGAGTGACACTGTGGCTCAAGTGGTAGAGCACTAGCCTTGAGCAAAAGCAGCTCAGGGACAGTGCCCAGGCCCTGAGTTCAAGCCCCAGGATTGGCGCGCGTGCACACACACATACACACACACAAAGAACCTTGCTTCTGAAAATTAAATCAGGCTCAGGTTTGGTGGGTGGGGTTTGAAATGGAAGGGAGGACTGGTAAACAGTGATAAGAATGAAAACAGAACAATAAAACCTGTTGCCTTTTAAGAAGGAAGAATAGGCCGGGAGAGAGTGATGAGAGGGTGTGAGGTTGATCAGGCTACATTGTTTGCATGTGTGGAAATATCACAATGAACTTCCCCCCTTACAATGGACATACTCTAATAGAAAAAACACAAGCTTGCTTTTTTGGGGAAAAAAAAGAATACAATGCATTCACATAATTCCTAGTTCAAGTGAAAAAGTAAAAAGTGTTGAGCATGGTGGGGGCCACATCTATAATCCCAGCTACTTGGGGAGTCAGAAGGACCACAATTTCAAGGCCAGCCCAGGCAAAGACAAATACAAAACAAAAGGGCTGAGGGTACGAGCACCTTAGGTCCTAGATTCAATCGCCAGTCTCCTCCCCTCCATAAGGACACCTCCCTCCCACTTCGGACCCCAGTTTCTTGCTTGTCCTGCTAAAGAAAATTCATTTCTTTTCTCCCAGTACCAGGGTTTGAACTCAGGACTTTATGCTCGCTTACTTGGTGTAGCACTCGGCTACCTTGCTTGGCCCTCTCTCATTTGAGCCATGCTTTCGGCTTTGCTTTTTGCAGCCTTGTTTTTTGTTATTTTTGCAAAGTAACCTCAGCTGGAGATGGAGTCTCAAGATTTTTCGCCCAGGCTGACCTAAAACCTTCCTGATTTCAGCTTCCTATGTATCGAGAATTACAGATGTGAGCCCCTGACACCCAGATCCAATTCTTATGTGTATAAAGTAATCAACTTCCATATTATCCTCTTCCTCTTTTGCATACCAGGTAACATTCTCCACATGCTGTTTGCTTGCTTTGCTTTTCTCCCTTCCACCTGGGAGGCTGCTTCACACTTCATCAAGCTTCTACATTCTCCTTGGTCCTCCCTTTCTTCCTTCTCCATGTCAGGGAAGTAGTTGTTTCCCTCAGCTGATGTAGAGAATAGGGATAGGATTGGTAGGCCGCAGTCAGGGCCTGAGCCCAGATGAGCACTGCTCTTTTGGATGCACTCAGTCCTGGACTGCTCGCAGGAAAAGCTGACTGACGGAAGGCCCCAAGGAGCAGGATTCTCCCTACCCCGTCTCTGCTGAGCAACTGACTCTTTGAACAGATTACACTAGCCCCTGCTTCCAGGAAGACCATTAGCTCTGCCCAAGGGAGGAGCTGTGGGCATCTGCAGGCACTTAGGCAGCCTCTGTAACCCAGGAGCCTGAGGAATACAGATTTTTTTCCCCAAAGAAAGTATGTTCAGGACTGAGGCAATTTCTTACCCAAAGGTGGTCCAAGTAGGTCCAGATACCAGCAGTACAGAGCTGGGCACTGGGGTCAAGGTGGTTATCCTGGGCCTGCCTGCTTCTCCCCAGGTTCTGGGGAGCCCTAGGAGCTTTGGCATGCTAGGGGTCAGAGCTGAAGCTGAGCCTGCCAGAATCTTGCCCTTCTGCAATGTCTGAAAGCCCCTCTTCCTTCCAAAGACCCTCTATGATCCTGTCCAAGTTGGGGTTCTGGGAAAGGGCTGTCCCCTTTCCTCTTCCTGCTGGTTCCAATACCATGTTACCCCCAGTCAGGCCGTGGGAAGAATGCCGTGTCCTCTGAACAGGGGCCAAGAGTGACAGGTGGTGGCAGCCTGAGCTGCATGGCCCCTGGTGTAAGAGATCCTCTTCCCCGTCCCCGCCTCCACTGCCCACAACCCTGCCTCTGCCTCTGCCCACCAAGCTCAATCCCTTACAACCACTGCGGTGAGCAGCCCGCAGCCACCACGATTGTCCCTCTCCACTGTAGGTCTGTCTCTCTCCCTTGGCCTCCTGTCACCATAGCCATTGCCACAGCCAGGCCAAGAGGAGGCCAGCTGACAACCCCGGCACACCTCATACTTCTCTCTGCAACTAGAAAGACTTGATTTAGACGAACAGAAGCACATCCTTCCTACCTCATGGCAACAGAAAATGGAGCAGTTGAGCTGGAAACCCAGAGCCCATCAACAGGTGCCAAGGCGGGTGGAGGAGGAGCTTGGGAGTGGTGTTTGAATTGCTCAGAGGGAGCTGTGTGGTGGCAGAGGTGTCTTTGCATGGGTGAGGTGCCTGGGGTACTCAGAAGTCAGAATGATCTCTGGGCGGGGTTGGGCAATATCCAGGTCCCACATGTAGCCCTCCCTGGAGAGACCAGGAAGACCTGCAGCCTCCCTGGGAGGCTGCTGGGGATGCTAAACACTGTGTGAGGGGTGGAGGCAGGGGCAGTGAGGCCCACCCAGAAAGTCCCAGAAGCCTCCAAGGTCCTGGCAGCCAATCTCCAGGGCCAGCAAGTGGTCCCAGAGGCTCAATAGGACCTACGTTTGCGAGTGACTGCCTTGGGGGAGAGGCAGGCACAGAGCTGGTCTGCCCAGCCAGGCTGGGGAGGGAGGAGGAGAAGGTTGGTCCTGATGAGTTTCTCACGTCCTTTGCAGACAAGGCATCCAATGGCGCTGCAGGGGAAGGACCTCCCGCTATAGAGAAAGGCTCGAATCCCCCAGACACAGAAAAAGGCCTCAAGAAAGATCCAGACTCATCCTCTCTGAAAGAAGAAGCCAAAACCCCTGCTCCAGAGAAAGGGGATGGTGCCCTGCCTGTACCCCCTCCTAGCAGCCAGGGCCCTGAGGAAGTGGGCAGGGGCGATGAGGGTGGGGGCCCTGCGGAGGGCAGGGCTGCGGAGGGCCATGCGGGGCCACCAGCAGCCCTGCCTCAGGGGACGTCCACAGCCCAGGCCAGCAGCAAGAAGCCTGATGCTGAGCAGGGACCCTCAGGCTGTCAGGACCCCAGAGAGCCCAAAATGGGCAAGAAGGAAACAGAGAGCCAAGCAGCAGTCAGGAGGGGCTCACCTGCTTTTCTGCATAGCCCCAGCTGCCCTGCCGCCATCTCAAGGTGAGTGCTCTCTGCCCCGGAGTGGGAGGGGTCCTGCCATTGCTTTCCAGGAGCCAGGCCCTGCTGTCATCATGTTCGGGACTGGGGAGGGTAGCATTGGCATTCCACAGCTTCTGTCCTGGGTGCCGGCTCGACCACCCTGTCCTTCAGAATGTTGGAATGTCGCGCGGGAGGTGTACCCCACAAACCATCCATGCTGCATTTCTCTAGGCTTCCAGGATGCAGAGTGCTCTTTATTCCAAGGGCTTGGGTCTAGTGAAGGACAGGATTAAGAGGTCAGAAGGAGAGGCTAGCTTTTCTTAATACAATGGCTAGTATAATAGGAAAAGATGACCGCTCAGTTAGGCTAAAATGAACTCATTCATAATATGTTATAAGCCACGACGATCATTATCATCAATTTGGTGATTGCCCATTCACATCCTCACAAATTTTATGACTCTACATCTGTGTAGCTCCCTGGTTGTATCTACACTAGGACCAACAATTCTCTTGATAGTTATTAATGATTTTGAATCAATAGTGGAAAGAAATGGGCACAGACATCCCTTGATTTCGTACAAGGTGAATGTGGAGGCCTTGTGGGGGTGTGGAGGGAGCCAGACTTGTATTAGCTCTAGATGACAGGTGAGTTTCTAGAAGCCTCCAGACTTCCCTAAGGCACGTCATCTCGTTTCTCACTTTCTAGCTCTGAGAAGCTGCTGGCTGAGAAGCCCCCAAGTGAAGCGTCAGAGCTCATCTTCGAAGGGGTGCCTGTGACCCCTGCCCCTCCAGCTCCTGGGCCAGCCAAGGCAGAAGGAGGGAAGAACACCCTGGTGGGGAGCCAGGAGGAAGCAGCACAGAAAGCCCCAAGCCAGGCTGGCCAGGCGAAGGCGCAAGGGGACACCTCGACGGGGGTCAAGTTCCAGGCTGTTCCCTCAGAGACATCAGAGGTGGGGCAGGCTCTCTGTCTCACAGCCAGGGAGGAGGACTGCTTCCAGATTTTGGGTAGGCCAGGGAAGGGTGGTGGCTGGGGCTACCCTGGGGATGGGGAGGGAAGGAGCCCATCCATCCCAAGTGGCTCCAGTCAGGGGGCTGAACTACCTTGGTCTAGGCCTCAGGCAGACTCAACCTGTCTAAATGCCACTTGGTCCCAGGAAGTGTTTCATTTGAAAAGAAATGGAAAAGGAGAAATGGTGGGTCTGAAAACATACAGCAAAGACATCTTAACTCCACGGCCTACTTTGGATTTTAGCATGATTTTTCTTTTAGCTGAAGGCGAGCATTCTACCACTTGAGCCACAGTGCCACTTCTGGTTTTCTGAGTGGTTTATTGGAGATAAGAGTCTTCTGGAGTTTTCTTCCCCGGGCTGGCTTTGAACCTTGATCCTCAGATCTCAGCCTCCTGGGTAGCTAGGATTAGGGGCGTGAGCCACCAACGCCTGACTAGCGTGATTTTTTTTTTTAAACCAGGTTTTCAAACATGGTTTTAGGAAATCAGGCAGATCATTGGGGCAACACAAACTTGTTGGCATTGGAATGTGGGGACAATCTGTAAACTCCATCCTGAGGTGTCATGAACCAGGAGCAGAGTGTTTGTGTAGGTTCGATCATTAAGGAGGCTGGGCATGGGATGGGGGCAGGGTGGGGCACAGCTCTATAGGGGCTCAGAGTTGAATATGACCAAGCTTGGGGAGCTTGGGAAGAGGGGAGGGACACAGTGGGCTGGGGATGAGGAGAGATGGGGTCAGGAGAGGCCAGACTGTCCTGATACCCCTTCCTCCGGGCTGAGGTGCCCTGGGAGACCCGCCAGTCTGCCTGGTGAGCGGCACAGTGCCACCCAGACTGGGTGGGAGGACCTGGCGGCTGGGCGGCAGCCAGGGGCCCTGCCTCCTGCCCCCAGCGGCGACACAGACCTCCGCCCCGCCCAGAGATCACATCCTCAGGGTGACAGGACCTGAACCACCTCCAAGGGCTGTCTGATTTATCACCAGCCCGGCTTCCCTGGCGTCTCTTGCTATTTATAAAGAGGTTTCCATTCCCGATGACTCAGCCCATGGCCTTCAGAGCCCACAGTTCCCCAAGTAGCCACTAGATGGCAGCCTCTTCCTACCGAACTGCTCTGTCCCAGGGCTGTAGGGAAATCAAGAGGGAATGGTGAGTAGGTCCCGTCGTTCAGACACAGAAACCCTGCTCTCTCTGAGATTCCACTTCATGGTTATTATATTTTTAATAGAAATGCAGATAGCTTGGGGTGGTGCTCTCCTATCTTACAATAAAGGTCAGAGAGGTCCACTCAGCTGTCTCATTCTTCTGCCAGGAGAAGCTGAGTCCCCTCTGACAGGGACAGACACTTTCCAAGACTATTTTGGGTGTCAGCGGCAGAACTGAAATAGGAAACTGGGTCTCCTATCCCCTATCCTGGAGCCAGGTGTCCCCCAGGTATCACAGAGTGAACTTAAGTTCCCTGGAGGGAGGGGGCACCCAGGCCAGGGAGGGGCTCGCTGATCAAGCTTGATCCCCAGAAATCCTGACAAAGACCTCAACTCTGCTCTGCCTCCCCAGATGACTGCCCACCACCCCCGGCCCCCTTCCCGCATCGCATTGTGGAGCTGAGGACCGGAAATGTGAACAGTGAATTCAGCATGAACTCCAAGGAGGCGTTGGGAGGGTGCGAGAGGGACCCCGGGGTGGGAAACCTGGGCAGGAGAGCAGGCCTCAGTGCGCAGGATAGGGGCCCATGTGCGTTCACTTCTGCATGGTCACACGCGTGGTGTGTCAGCGGTCATGTACTGGTATGCACATGCCATTTCCACAGACACCATTCAGTGTCCCAGAGGAAAGAGGCAGTCAGAAACAATTGACCTCTGCCTTCATTCCATTTACCATAGTGGCTCCTCAGGTCAAGCAAGCACTAGTTTGGGCCAGCACCCCTAACAGAGAGTTCCCTCCCTGTTACCTAAAAGGGGCCTCCCCAGTATCCCTGCCCACCTTACACCTTACCCTGTAAGGGTCCCTCTCAGGGCTGCGCTCCTCAGGAGCCGGGGCACAGTGTGCTCCATGCACTTGGTATGTGCAGTTCAGAGACTCCTCCACCCCTTGTCCGGGCACACATATGGCTTCTGGCTTCAGGAGAGAGGTTTGGGGCTGGCAGGGGTGAATGTTCTGATCTCTCAGGGCCTGGAGCCAAGATAGGAATGGGTCACAGTCCCCTAGGGAGCCCTGGGTCTTTAGACTCCTCTCAATCCCATCTCTTGTCTCTCCAGTGGCAAGTTTGGAGCTGTTTGTACCTGTACAGAGAAAGCTACGGGCCTCAAACTGGCAGCCAAGGTCATCAAGAAACAGACTCCCAAGGACAAGGTAACGGGGAGAGCTGGCTCTGCGGGAGAGGGGGTTCCTGGAGCAGGTGCCTCTAGTCTCCCTCAGCCTATGCCTCTGGGACCAGGCTGGTGTGTGAAACTTGCTACATTGAAGATATGAGAGAGAGAGAGAGAGAGAGAAACACACACACACACACAGAGACAGAGATAGAGAGAGAGAAAGAGAGAGAGAGAGAAACACACACACACACAGAGACAGAGACAGAGAGAGAGAAAGAGAGAGAGAGAGAGAAGCACCATCTTGAGGGCCCTGGTACCCCAAACCATAAATCATATACCCAGTTAGTGAACTTCTCCAGGGACATCTTTTGCTAGGTACAGGCTGTTTATGCCCTCGGGCTCGATTTAATGATACACGTGTGGCTGTGAGGCAGGCTGGGCACTGGGGTCCTCATGTGCCCTCTGGGAGCTAACAGCAAGATGAGGAACCCAGTAGAGTGCTTTGCCTTACACCCCTAGTATGGGCCAGGCTCAAGGCCAGGAGCAGTTCTTGCCCTGGGAATATAGACAGAGGCTCACGAGGGGTGAGGAGCTGGTGTGTAAGGAGATGAGGACAGCCTTACAAATTGATGTGCTCGGAGCTGTAACTCAGGGAAGCTGAGGAGTCCAGAGTAAGCGAGAGGGTGGAGAGGTTCCTGGCTCAATCCTGGGAGCCTGAGGAAGCTTCCTGGACCAGTTTTTCCAGGGTGAAGGCTTTGCAGAGAAAGAATAGATTAGAAGAATGGGATAGAATAGGATGGAGAAGAAGAGAATAAAATGGGAGAGAATAGAAAAGGATAGAATGAGCCCGGTGTCAGTGGCTCACACCTGTAATCCTAGCTACTCAGGAGGCTGAGATCTGAGGATCATGGTTCAAAGCCAGCCCAGGGAAGAAAACTTCGGAAAACTCTTATTTCCAATACATCACCAGAAAACTGGAGTGGCACTGTGGCTCAAGTGGCAGAGCACTAGCCTTGAGCTGAAGAGCTGATGGAGAACACCCAGGCCCAGAGTTCAAGCTTAATGACAGACACACACACACACACACACACACACACACACACACACACACACACACACGAATAGGATAGAATGGAAAAGAAAAGAAGAAAATAAAATGAGAAAGAACGGAATAGTATAGAATAGAAAAGAATAGAATAGTATGGGCAAGAATAGCAGAATAGGATAGCATTCTGATGCTGGTGGCTCATGCCTGTAATCCTAGCTATTCAGGAGGCTGAGATCTGAGGATTGGGGTTCGAAGCCAGTGTAGGCATGAAAGTCTATGAGACTCTTATTTCCAATTAACCACCAGAAAACCAGAAGTGGCGCTGTGGCTCAAGTGGTAGAGCGCTAGCCTTGAGCAAAAAAGCTCAGGGACAGGGTTCAGGCCCTGAGTTCAGGCCTAACCAAAATAAAAGGATAGAAAGAGAAAGAATAGGATAGGATCGAATGGCATGGGAAAGAATAGAATACAATAGAAAAGAATAGAATGGGATAGGATAGCATGGAATAGAATGGGAGGAAAGGGGAAGGAAGAGAAAGGTAGGAAAGGGAAAAGGACAGAGAAGCTGTAGGAGGAAAGGCCTATAGGTCAGAAATAGCTGGGAGGCAGAAAAGTAAGGTTTGGAGAGCTGCAGGCACACCAGGTAGAGTGCCACAAGGGTATGAGAAGCCACTCCTGATCTCTGCAGCCCAGAGTCACTTTGCAGCTGTACGTATAGTGGGAAGGTGCATCTTTCCTATGCAGCCATATCCAGCTGCATCTTCAGTAGTCAATGCTGGCACCTAGAGTATCCACAGTTGTTCCCAGGCCTCTATCCCAGGACTTGGCTCAGTAGATGCTCAATACCTATGTGCGGCATGAAGTTGTTGGCACCAGTGATTGGTTAATTGGTGACTGGGCGTTTTTCTTGCCATTCACTGTGCTGGGGACTGGGTGTGACGTGTGGGAGCGCTGAGAGACACAACTAGAAGCTAAAGAAAAATAAAAAGGCACCGTGTCAGGAACTGAGAAGTGCCAGGAGGAAAGATAGAGCCAGGTAAGGAAGAGCGAACAGGGAGCTCACAGTGGCCACTCGCTGTCGATAGGGCGGTAGGATGGTGGGAGGATGGGACGCAGCTTGGCTGAGAAAGTGGCAGGGAGGCGGGAGCTGAGGGGACAGAATCAAGAGCAGCCTTGTGGCACCTGGTATTTAATGTTGGCCCTGGGGGGAGCAGCTGCAGGGAGAGGCCTGATATTACATGAACTTCCACAGTGTGAATAGTCCTAGACATATTGCTGTCCCCCCCCGTAATGTGACAACTGACTGGCAATTGTTCTGAAAGTGACAAATAATGCTGGCTTAGGTCCAGAGAGTAGAGATGGAGGTGGTGAGACATGATTCGATTTAGAATCTAGTTTGAAGATGGAGTTCATTAAAGCACTCTCTGCAGAATGGGAAAGAGAGGCGTGTCGAAGGTGGCTCCTGGCCTTCTGTCCTGAGTGTGTGGGTGAAGCTTGGTAGCCTCCTTCTGGTGGGCAAGCTTGGGGTGGGAGAGGCAGCGCAACAGGCCATAGTGTTGTCATCAAAAGCTTCACTGTGCACACGATCCATTTGAGATCCTCTTGGCCATTTGAGGAACATGGAAAGGACGTGGCTGGATATTTTGGAACCTGGAGTGGGAGGAGAGCTCAGAGGCAGAGCTAGAGAATTGCAAGTCAATCATATTTGGATACAAAGTTGGATACAGGCATGGACTTGAGGCAGAGGCCTGAGGAGTATCGGGGCGGGGGGGGGGGGGGAGGGAGAGGGAGTGACGGAGAGACAGAGACAGAGAGACAGAGAGAGAGAGAACACACCGGAGGAAGCTGGTCTGGCAGAGGTCCCGTGCAGGGTACCACAGGTCTGGCAGAGGGCAAGGTGCGGAGGTCTGAGGGCCGAGGCTGATGATGCTCCCCTGGTCCCTTTGACTTCTCTGACCCCCAGGAAATGGTGATGCTGGAAATTGAGGTCATGAACCAGTTGAACCACCGCAACCTGATCCAGCTCTACGCGGCCATAGAGACCTCGCATGAGATCATCCTGTTCATGGAGTAGTGAGTAGCACCTATGGGGTCGGGAGCCAGGCTGGGGGAGGCCGGCAGCCCAGCACAAGGCTGCAGAGGGGGTCTCTGTGTGCAGCATCGAGGGTGGTGAGCTGTTCGAGAGGATTGTGGATGAGGACTACCCTCTGACTGAGGTGGACACCATGGTGTTCGTCAGGCAGATCTGTGACGGAATCCTCTTCATGCACAAGATGAACGTTCTGCACTTGGACCTCAAGGTGCTGCCCCAGGGCCCCTGGGAGGGGTGCAGGGAGCACCCTTCCATCTCCCCATCCCTCCTTCTCCCCGTCCAGTCCTCCTTCCATTCATAGATTGTGAGTTTAGGACTTACCGAACATGCCAGGCGCTAGGCACAAGAGAGATGGGGCAGAGAGGATGCCCCAGCTGTCTCGTAACTTCTAGTCTAACACTAAGTATTTCCCCAATCATTTGCACCCCATGAGCCCCAAGCTCACGTCTAGTCAGTGGTCCTCATGCGCCCACCTCAGTGTGGCCCTGTGAGAGGTGCTGAGAATATTGGTTCATTCATTCAGAACCAACACATAGGTGCCCAGGGTCTGCTTTCTGTAGCCAGTGCCTCATAGTAGAGATTCAAGGCCAAACTGACCAAGTCTAAATCCCTGCTGACAGCCAGTGGCTCATGCTTGTAATCCTACTTGCTCAGGAGGCTGAGATCTGAGGATTGTGGTTCAAACCCAGCCTGGATGGGAAAGTCTGTGAGGCTCTTATTTCTAATTACCCACCAAAAAAGTAGGAAGCGGAGCCATAGCTCAAGTGGCAGAATGCCAGCCTTGGGCAAAAAACGCTAAGAAACAATACTCAGGCTCTGAGTTCAAGCCCCATGCATGCATGTTCAAGCACATGCATGCATGTGCACATGTGCAGACACACGTGTACAGCAACAGAACTATGTACATCCTTTCCTGAGCCAGCACAGAGCCATGCACATGGCAGCTCTCCTGAAATATCAATTGCCATCCAGTGGTAGAAGCTGTCTGTAGCTTAGGGATGCCTGCCAGGGTGTGGCCTGGCATGGGGAGGGGTAGAGTCAGGGGTATAACGCCCCTCTTGCAGCAAGTGTGTGTGGGTAAGTGGCGAAGTTAGATGAGATATTAATGCTGAGGAATGTGAAGCTCTTTTCAGCATATGGGTGGCCTTTCCACTCATTTCCTTGATAACATGTACTGCTGATGGCAGCTAAGACCCCCCCACGGTAAGACCACCCTTGGCCTGGGGCCTTGCCCCAGAAGAAAGAAAAGGAGGGGCTGGGAAGGTGGCTCAGTGGTAGAGTGCTTGCCTTGCATGCACGAGGCCCTGGGTTCCATTCCTCAGCACCACATAAGCAGAAAAAGCTCAGCCTCATCCCACACAGTTGCATCTTCTCTTTCCCTGCCATGGTGGGACATGAGGCTGAACTTTGTCTTTCCCTGAGTGACAACGTTGGTTCTGTAAAGACTCCAGGAAGCCGGGGGCAAGGGCTGGGGGGGGCCTCACACCTGTAATCCTAGCTTCTCAGGAGGCTGAGATCTAAGGACCATGGTTCAAAGCCAGCCCAGGCAGGAAAGTTTATGAGACTTTTTTTTTTGTCAGTCATGGGGCTTAGAACTCTGGGCCTGAGCGCTGTCCTTCAGCTCTTCAGCTCAGAGCTAGTGCTCTACCACTTGAGCTATAGTACCACTTCTGGTTTTCTGGTGGTTTATTGGGGACAAGAGTTTCACGGACTTTCCTGCCTGGGCTGGCTCTGAATGGAGATCCTCAGATCTCAGCCTCCTGAGTAGCTAGGATTACAGGCGTGAGCCACTTATCTCCAATAAACCACCAGAAAACTGGAAGTGATGCTGTGGCTCAAGTGGTAGAGCGCATGTCTAGATGGTGCAAGAGCCTAAATAAATAAATAAGTAAATACTAGCTGAATGTGATTTCAGTAGCATTCAGTCAGTAGCATTCAGTCATTCATAGTTGACCATGATCAGTTGTTGTGTGTGCAGGATGGGCGCGTGTTGGTGGAAGGAAGCCAGGGATCTCAGGATCCCTGCTCTGATGTTTTCCTGCTCAGGTCTTTAGGGATCCATGCCCTGGTGGGCAGTGAGCCACACTTCTCTACAGCCTCAGGATTAGCTGGCTCTCCTGGCCTTCAAGGGAGGGAAATCGGGCTCAGTCAAGCCCACTAAGGGGTTTTGGCCTCCATCTGACAAGTCTCTTGCAGGGTTTCAGCATCCTTTGCTGTGTCAGGGGCAGGCAGGTGTGAAGGGGTCCCAAAGAGGGAGTGTTAGCTGGGTCAGAGGCCAATTCAGGCCACCCTTCCACCCCTCCCTCGTCTCTCCAGCCAGAGAACATCCTGTGTGTCAACACCACCGGCCACTTGGTGAAGATCATTGACTTCGGCCTGGCACGGAGGTACCACGGGGGCGGGCTGGTGAGGGTCAGCAGAAGGTGGAAAGGGCCTTGGGGACAGGCTGAGTCCTGAGCTCTTGATCTCACCCCCAGGTATAACCCTGATGAGAAGCTGAAGGTGAATTTTGGGACCCCAGAGTTCCTGTCCCCGGAGGTGGTGAATTACGACCAGATCTCTGACAAGACAGACATGTGGAGTATGGGGGTCATCACCTACATGCTGTGAGGCCCGAGGGAGAGTACCAGTGCCGGGGTGGGTTGGGGCAGGTGGGGGGGTCACAGAGGCCGAGCGTGGCCTCAGGGTCCTGGAAAGGTGGCGCCTCCTCCCTGATCCCTCAGCCAGAGTTCACTTTTTGGGTGTGGGGATTGGGAGTGCCAGAGAGGGAGATTTGGTGCCTATTTTCTAGATGGAAAAAGCCAAGGCCCTGAATGGCGTAGAACCCCAGCCAAGATCTCTGGACAGCAGATTGCAGATGGTTCAGGGTGGGAGGAGAGGGACGGTGGACATTTTCTTTTTTATTTTGTTGTGTACTCATCATACACCTGGTACTCACATTCCTCATCCTGGGAAGCTAGGATGCTCATGCCCATTTTACAGATGAGAAGAGTGAGGCTCAGAGAGGGGAAGTGACTTGCCCAAAGTCACCCAGCCAGATTCACACCCAGGTCTGTCCCACTTGGAAAGCTGGGGGTCTTTCTAGCACACGGTGCTACCTCCTAGGCTCTGCCCCCACCCTTGACCCCAGCACCTCAACCTCACCTCCCACTCTGGTCTTCCTCTTCTGCCAGGCTGAGTGGCCTCTCCCCGTTCCTGGGAGACGATGACACGGAGACCCTAAACAATATTCTGTCTGGCAACTGGTACTTTGATGAGGAGACCTTCGAGGCGGTGTCAGATGAGGCCAAAGATTTTGTCTCCAATCTTATCGTCAAGGACCAGGGGTAAGACTTACCCAAGGCATGCACTGTGAGTGTGCAAGCCCAGTGCATCTCCCAGGCCGGGAGCCCCGGGGAGCTGGGCATGCCCACGCTCACCGAGCTGCCCTCCCACACAGGGCCCGGATGAGCGCTGCCCAGTGCCTCGCCCACCCCTGGCTCAACAACCTCGCTGAGAAAGCCAAGCGCTGTAATCGCCGCCTCAAATCCCAGATTCTGCTGAAGAAATACCTCATGAAGAGACGCTGGAAGGTGCCGGGGCCGGGGAAGGCGGGGGCCAGGGGGAGGCGGGGGGCCGGGGAAGGCAGGGGACTGGGGTGGGGGAGCCTCCGCTGGGGAGCAGCTTGGCTCCTGAGCCCAGCTCGCAACCCTGCCTTGGCAGGTTCTGTTGACCAGGCCTGGTCCTATCTGGCAAAAAAAAAAACTTGCTCTTCCCTCTCCTGCCTGGGCTGGCTCTCCTCCCCGAGCGGAGCCTTCTTCAGGGAAGGGTCTCTGACCTGGTCATAGTTCTTTCATTTTTCCCCTAATTTTTTGTTTTTTCGGATGGCCATGGGGCTTGAACTCAAGGCCTCGGTGCTGCCCCTGAGCTTTTTTTGCTCAAAGCTAGTGCTCTACCACTTTCAGCCACAGTGCCGCTTCCAGTTTTCTGGTGGTTAATTGGAAATAAGAGTCTCATGGACTTTCCTGTCAGGCCTGGCTACAAACCATGATCCTCAGTTCTCAGCCTCCTGAGTAGCTAGGATTACAGGTGTGATCTACAGGACCCAGATCCCAAATATTTCTTGAACAGTGACTTCCGGGCTTCCAGGATGCAACAGTGAGCCGGGCAGGAGACAAGGATCCCAATCTTTGTGGATTTCCTTTGGTGGGAAGTAGAAACTTTCTACTTCTACCATCCTCCAGGCAGTGGGTGCTGCCAGTACAAAGGCCCTGTGGCAGGTGTTAAGTTTGAGGAACAGGGAAAAAGCCATTATTGCTGGAATGGGGTGAGAAAGGGAGAAGAGATGAAGTCAGAGAGGAACGAGGATCCTCGACCAAGATACACATAGCCCCGGCTCCATGGCCTCATGTGTGTCATGGCACCTCCAGTGGCCACGTTGGGTACTGCACCCTTCCTAGCCATGGATCCTTCTGGAATAATCATTGACTGGGACTCCTTCTCTCTCATCCCCCTCTCTTCAGAAAAACTTCATTGCTGTCAGCGCAGCCAACCGCTTCAAGAAGATCAGCAGCTCGGGGGCCCTCATGGCTCTGGGGGTCTGAGCCCCAGGAGCCACCGAGGTCTGAACACAGCCGCGCAGTGGCCGGGGCTGAGGGCACACAGCCCGGAAGGCTGGAGAAGGCAGGCCAGATCCCTGGGGCCGGCTGGCCAGGACCGGCTGTGCCAGGCTGGGAGGCTCGGGGCTCCCCACGCCCCCCATGCAGTGATGCTTCCCCGACATGAGCCGCCTTGGACCTCAGAGTGTGGCCTGGATCCATCTCGCTACTGCCTCCCCGATAGACATCGGACCCATCCGCCACATGACACTCCACGGCGACGATCCACGGCGTGGGGCTGCGTCCTGTCCCTGCCTTAGCTCCCCTTAGCTGCCCCTGTGGCCCCTGCTTTGCCCCACCCAGGATATGGGCAGCCTGGGCTTGCTCCTAGCTGGGGGGGGGAATGATGGCGGCTGGGGGGCTAGGGGGGCGGTGTTCAGCAGGAGGGCTTCCGCAGTTGTGGATGGGGGACTTCCGGCCGGGGGCAGGCAGGGAGTTGTGCATATGATTTCTAAGTCCAGCTGCCAGGGGAGACAGAGCAGGCTTTGTGAAGGAGGATTCCACACGCCCTCTCCCATGTCCTCTCCCAACAGATAAGGCCTTGCACACACACACACACACACACACACACACACACACATCATCTGGCCCCCACCCACCTTCTTTGTGTGACCACCAAGACACAGGAATTCTGGGAGCGAAGGCACCCAGCCCAGGTCTGCGGGGGTGAGGGAAGAGGCCTGGGAACACAGGAAACCATCTCCAAGCTCACCCAAGGGCTGAGCCTGCTGCCTGCCCCAGAGGGTGCCCATGGCCTCAAGCCCATGGGCTCAGCAGGCCCAGGCGATCGAAGGCCGTTGGGCAGCCCCCAACCTGCTCTTAGCTTGTGCCTTGTAAATAAATGTACAGGTCGGTGCGGCCTGCTGCCCTGGGTGCGTGCCCATGCTTGTGTGTGATCAGATGACTACGATTGGCTGAGGGCCTACTGTGTGCCAGGCACTGGAGTACATGTACCTACAGTGTGCTGCTTTCACAGGCAGACTCAGAAGCCTGCCTGACCAGCGTGGGGTCTGTCTGGGCAGGTGACTTCCCAGCACTGTGCCTCAGTTTCCACACTATGAGAGCAGTATCATACTAGCCAGCATGCCCTGGGATGACCGAGCGAGCCTCTGGGTGAGCCTCTGTCTGAACTCTGGGTCCCATGATTCCCACAGCAGGAGGGTGGGAGATCGCTTAGAGGGGAGGGGACGGAGGGGTCGAGGCGGGGGAAGACTCCACTCACATGGCAGACAGAGGGCCCATCAGTGGGATCCGGGGATGTCACAGGGCGGGGCTGGGCAGGGGGAGCTGCCAGCATACTTCATCTGATGCATGGGGAAACAGGCCGAGCTGAGAAGGAACTTGATGGTTGCTCAACAAGTTAGGGGCTGGGGCTGGAAATGAGGTCTTCTCCACCTGCTGAGCAGACAGCAGGGTGTCCCCGCAGGGCAATGGCCATTTGCCATTGCCCTGCCATGGCTCTCTGCTCCCCACTAGGGGCTGCTGCTCTGCTCACAGGGACCGGACGGGAGTGCCAGGCTCAGAGAGGCTCAGCCTCTGCTCACCCAGCAAGTCAGTGGTGGACCAGACCCTGAGCCCCCGCGCTCACCCCTGCACCCCAGCCACTTTCCACCAAGCCTGGGCCTGCAGGGACAGAGAGAGCTCAGCTGTGCCTTGAATGTGCTGCCTCCCGGAGGGCGGGGCTAGGCACCCGGAGGGCGGGGCTAGGCACCCGGAGGGCGGGGCTAGGCACCTCGCTGTGCTCTGCCTTGTGGTAGATGCTCTGCCTTGTGGTAGATGCTGTGCGGGGTACAGGATGGAGGACTTCTGGGCCCCAGCTTGGCCCTGCCGCTGTGGGGAGCTGGGAGGCTCAGAGCCTGGCTTGGGATCTCTGTGGGAGGTGGCCCCGCAGCCACGCACCCCTGCCCGTCCACTCGCCGGCCCGCCCGCCACCTGCCAGCTGGGCCAGGCCTGTGGTTTCCGCTGAGTGGCCCACTTGGCCTCACTGGCCTCCACCCAGGCTGAGCCTCGGCCACACAGCTCGATGATGAGGGATGAGTCATCACTGGGGGGAGGGGAGGAGGGGAGGTTCAGCCAGAGCAGAGAACCAAGGCCTGAATCCATATGGGGGAAACCAAGGCCCCCATGAGGAGGGTCCTACATCAAAGATGGCAGTAACTGGGACTGGAATGCAGCCCTCCAAACTCCAGCCTCTGTTCCCTCCTTTGTAACGTGAGACTGACAACCTCAGCCCTTCTGTCCTCTGCACTTCTAGGGTCCTATGGCAGTCAGGAGCGGGGCTGGGATGCCCCCTCATCATATTTCTCAGGTGAGGAAATAGGTTCAGAGAGGAGACGTGACTTACCCAAGGCCACACAGGAAATGAACATGTCCTGGGCCAAAGCCCACCCAGAACCATGGGACCGGGGCTGGTCTTGCTCTCCTTCCCAGAGCGTATCTTGGAAAGTTTGTGTGTGTGTGTGTGTGTGTGTGTGTGTGTGTGTGTGCACATGCACGTGGATGCACCAGAACTGGGCCTGGGTGCTCTCCCTTAGCTTTTTCACTCAGCTCTACCACTTGAGCCATACCTCTATTGCTCTCTTTTAGTTGTTAATTGCACATAAGAATCATATAGATTTTCCTGCTCAGGCTGGCTTTGAACTGCAATCCTTAGATCTCAGCCTCCTGCACGGCTAGGACCACAGGTTTGGAAAGCTCTTTAGGTAGTCAGGTCTCTCTTTTGGGCCTCTCCTGGTCTCTATAGGCAGAGAATATAGATTTGATCGTAGAGATGGGGACAATGGGGTCTTAAGAGAGATTTCGTTCTTACTGCAGGCAAAGCTGGGGCCACAGCCATTGGGGCAGAGCTGCCCTCTCTGGAGGCCTGGACTCCAGCCCCAGTGCTCTTAGTACAGTTCCCATCCCTGGCTGTCACAGAGAAAGATTTTTCACCCTAGGAGCAGCCCAGACGGAGGGGGGGGGGAGTCCATGGCTGGTTTGGAATTGCCACACTCCAGGACTGGACCTGGGCTCTGAATCGAGGGTCCTGCGGTCCCCAGGCGCCAGGCTGTGAGCCTCCTCCCTGTGGCATGGCGCAGTCCCCCAGTGTCCATCCCATGTCTTCCCTGGTGCATGGTAGGCCTCCAAGATGCCGGGCCCCAAGCCCTCCCTCCACAGGATCCTGGTCATCCTCGTGGGCCAAGAAGGGTTAAGACGCTCTGTGGGACCCTCTCCTCCCAGCTGGTCCCAGCCCAGAGTTCCCCTCCAAGCCCATTTCCTGCCTCTGAGCCTTGGCTGGGCCCACAGTGAGCACCCCCATGGGTCTGGAAGCCACTGAGACCACATCTGGTTTGGATTAGCCCAGGGCTGGTGACGTTGCCTTTTCCTGTCTGGGTCGAGTGGCCTCAAATTCCACCGGCCACCTTGGACCCAACAAGGCGGCGGTGGGAAAAGATTCAGCCAGTGACAGGCTGTAAGGCAGCCTGGGCGGTCCTGAAGGAGGTGCCCCAAAGGCCTGGACTGGACCCTGAGAGCCGCCCGCCCGTGCGCCTGTGTCCGGCCCGCCCTCCTTCCATCTCTTAGACGAGTGGTGTTTACTCAGCAGGTACTTTCTTTTCTTTGCCTTGTCTCCTTCGTTTCTTTGAGACCCAGTCTTGCTCTGTAGCCCGACCCGGCCAACTCTCAACCCTGTTGCTTCAGCCTCCTGAATGCTGGAGGGTGACAGGATACACTCAACTAGAGGGGGTAGCTTCCCCAGCAGCAGAGCACAGGAGGGGGAAACTGAGGCAGGCAGAGTACATGGGCAAGGAAATGGCCCCCAGCCAGCAGAGTCAGATGGCAAGGCAGACAGTCCAATGACTTCAGGCCTGTTGGTCCTGATCCGCTCGGGTGGGCCTGGCTCAAGCAGGAGGCCAGACAGGAAGTAATGACTTCTACACTAAGGGAGCGCACAGCCCCTGGGACTATATAAACTCTTGAAACCATGGGGAGGGAAAGGGACAGGGAGCAATATTCTCTTCTGGGGGATGGGGTGGGGGGCGTGGCACCCACGGGGAGCTCAGGGAAGGATGGCTCAGACAGCACTGAGGATGTTGTAGGCCGAGGCACGCCCTCAGACAGAATACACTTGATTGGAGCATCTACACAATGGGGTCTTTGTGTGGGACGGCAAAGTAGAAATCAAGTCTGGGAAGGTGGTCAAGAGGGAGCCATAGAAAGGTTCTGAGCAAAGGAAGCATGCAGTCACATCCACACGGTCACTGGATCCCCACAGCCAGGTCAGGCAGGTCAGTAAATGTGTGAGAGAGAAAGAGATCGGAGGCCACAAGACCAGGGGGGGCCAAGCCCCATTTGCATGAGAGAGGCTGTAAGGATCCAGGTTGGAGAGGGAAGCACAGAACTCAGCCTCCTCTTAGGCAGACAGGTGCGTAACAGACGTTGGGCTCCAGGTTGAACAGAACACAGTTCAGATTCCCTATTTATCCTCGCAGAGGCTCAATCAATCTCAGCCAGAGAAGAGGAGGACGTTTGAAAGGAGGCTGAACCTGAAGGAGAGAAGCCCGCGGCTGCCGTGCCGCTGGAAGGCATCCGGGCTGAGGCACGAAGGCTGCTCAGGGCCAGGGGAGGACGGGGGAAGGAGGCAGATGAAGCCACACCACGCAGGCCCTTACCCATAAACTCCCGCCGGGCTGTTGCTCAAAACCAGAGGAGCCCCTGGGTTCTTTGAGATTCCGTCCATGGTAAACGGTGAGTGGGTGGCTGTGATTCCACTCAGCAGACATTGACTCGCTGAGGTCTCTCTAGGGGTTGGAATGGAGGAAGAGAACAAGACAGACCCCAGTTCCTGTCCCCCTGAAGTTTTCAGACTAAGGTGGAGACACAGGATGGAAGGCGTGCACACACGTGTCACGGTGCATTGAAACAGGTCTGTGGAAACTGAGACTAGAACACTGTAGAGGTTGCTGGAGGCGTGATGGTGTTTGACGTGAGCTCCGCAGGCAGAGATGGAGAGGAATTTCTAGGTAGTGTGAAGAGCTTGTGCAAAGGCCCCGAGGTGGGGAGAAGAATCACACGGGAGCCAGAAGCTGGCTGCCGCCGAAGGGCAGGCCTTTCTCTCAAGTACTCAAGTGAGAGCAGGGTAGCCTGAGGCTTGGCACCGAAGACTGTGGTTGGGAGGAGGCAGCTCTAGTCTTCCGGGATGACCAAGTGACTAAATGAGCCTCTGGCCTGTTTTTAGCCTCAAGACCACTTCCTCCTGCCCCACCAGCTGCCTCCCTGAGTCATGCCCAGTCACCAGCAGACAGGAATAGGGGACTAAGCCCCTCTGAAGCTCCACTCTGGGAATGCGGTTTCTTCCCCTGTGTGGAGAAAGGAGCCAGAGGCCCGGCCCAGGCCTCCAGGCCCTCCAGTGGGGCTGGTTTTCGTTTTCTTTTTGCTTTTTGTCAGTCCTGCGGCTTGAACTCAGGGCCTAGGTGCTATCCCTGAGCTCTTTAGGCCCAAGGCTAGTGCTCTACTACTTTGAGCCACAGTTCCACTTCTAGGTTTTGGGTGGTTAGTTGGAGATAAGAATCTCACAGACTTTTCTGTCTGGGCTGGCTTTGAGCCACGATCCTCAGATCTCAGCCTCCTGAGCAGCTAGGATGACAAGGGCGAGTCTCTGGTGCCTGGCGGGGTTGTCTTTTTTTTGTTGTTGTTCTAATTTCATCCCTTGATCCTACTGTCCCTTGTAGTATGCAGGATGGGACTTCCTACAGACCAGGACAGAGACCTTATCTCCATTTTACAGATGAGGAAACCGAGGCTCAGAGAGCCAGGAAGTAGGGGAGTTCATGGCCTTGCCGAGGGAACAGCCTACCCTCCCTCTGTGTCCTCTCCTTCCATTACCAGGACAGGGAGGAGGGGGCAGGGGACAAGCCCAGGACCCAAAGGCATATGTATTGCATCAAACAAACACATTGTGATTTCCATGCGCCCCACTTGCTCTGCGAGCGGTCATCCTCGCAGCCACCCCATGGGGTAAGTACTGGGAATGTCCACACGAGGGGCACAGAGATGGGAAGCTACTTGCACAAGGTCACCCAGCAAGGAAGTGGCCGCGCTGGGATGTGAGTGCAGCCCGGCCTCTGGCAGCGGGGCCTGGGTGGTGATGGGAGTCTGGGCAAAGAAGGGAGGTTCTGGCTGAAGCCTGGATTCCTGGGTTTTTGCACTCCCAGCAGGCCAAGAGACGGACAGACAGACGTGCCAGGCCGCCACCACCTCCCCCTGCTTCCTCATCCTTGTGGCAGCCCGGGCCTCTGGGGGAGAGGGTCTCTGCCGGCCAAAGCGCTGTCTGGGCTGTGGGAAGGCGTGGAACCGGGGCTGTGGAATGCCATGGCGGGGGAAGGAAGCAGTGGGCGGAAGGCGGGTCTGAGATAAGAGTGGTGGAGGAGGCCGAGGAAGGCCAGTGCTGGGCGGGGGTGGTCTCCTGGGCGGGGGGCGTCCTCTCCCCACTTGACCTCAGACCGGAGGCCAGCAGGTGGAGAGGCCCCTGCAGTTCTCTGGCAGGGAAGGCGGCCTCCCTGTTTCCTGAACCTGGCATGAGGTCATGGAGGCGCTGTCAACACTGGTATTCTGAGAATCTGAGCTGCTGTGATTAAGGAGTCTGGAATATTCCCCACCCCCACCCCACCCCCGTTGTGGGGTTTGAATTCAAGGTCTGGGTACTGTCCCTGAGCTCTTTTGTTCAAAGCTAGTGCTTTACCAGTTTGAGCCACAGCTCCACTTCCAGTCTTCTGGTGGTTAATTGGAGATAAGAGTCTCAAGGATTTTCCTTCCCCAGCTGGCTTTGAACTGTGATCTCAGCTAGGATAACAGGTGTAAACCACCACTGCCCTGCTTGGAATATTCGTAACTACTGACTCTGCCCTGTTAGGATTTGAGCCCTGGGCTACAAGGCAAGGGACCGATACCTTTTCTGCTCTGGCCTGCAGAGGAGGCAGGGCACCAGGGATCAGTCTGGAGGCAGAGCACCCCCTACAGGTGGGGACCCTAGAAGCGGAGCCAAATGCCACAGTCCCTGTCCGTAGCTTTGTGCAAGGGGGGTCCCATGGGTGGGCTGAGAAGACAGCTCCGCTTCCCCCTTGCTGTGTGACCCTGAGCACACTGCTCGCCTTCCCGGATCTCAGCCTCCAGCTATGTCAAGATGCTCTTTGGGCAGGGCTAGGTGAGGAGCCCTTGCCGCCCCAGGTTGGGGGGGTGGTGGTGGTGTGATCACACAGAGCCAGAGGTGTCTGTGGGTGATGGAAAGAATGTGAGGGAGGACGCCCTGTGGGTGGGGTCTCCGGCTGGGCAGCGGGCAGAGGGCGGCGTGAGCTCACAGGGTCTAAACCTCCGGGCATGGGGCCTCCTCCGGGCCATCAGCCAGGTCAGACCCTCCCCTGGGACTCAGACCCAGAGAGTCAGGCTGCCCACCCCACTCTGCTGGGCAGAGGGAGTGAACTCAAGGCCCAGAGACGCGGGCACTGAGCCAGGCTCACAGGGGGAGTCTAGGGCCGGAGCTCAGCCCTGGGCTGTGCTTGGGGAGTGGGGCTGATTGGGGCGGGGGGGAGGTGATGTCTCTACTTTTTTGACAGAGGAGACATCTTTGGGGGGTGGCAGAGAGGGGTAGACCAGAGCTGAGCTGTGTCCCTGGGTGTGACTGGGCCTTCCACATGGGCCTAGCATTCTCCACAACACCCTTCCTAGCTCCCAGGCTGAGACTCCTTGGGAGTGGGGGGCAGGCAGGATGCTCCCCTACCTCTGTACCTCCCGACCTCCCACACTCCCAGCCAGAAAGCAGCCAGTCGAGAAGGCAGCCCCTCCAACTGCCTGCCTGCCTGTCTGTCTGTCTGTCTGTCTGTCTGTCTCTCTCTCTCTCTCTCTCTCACACACACAAGCATACCCCGTGGTACACAGCCATGCAGGGTATCTGCCCTCCGTCTCTCCCCTTGCTCACGCAGGGCCGCCTCCCCTCCTGCCCACCCACGAAGCAGCTTCCTGAGGTGGACAGACCCTCCCTCCTCCCCAGGTTTCCAGGCAGGGTGTGGCAGGCATGGTGGGGAGGGGGCCGTCCCAGCCCTTCCACCCGCAGGGAGCGGGTGCTCCTTCGGTCCCCCCCTCATCTCAGCTCTGGAGTCTGTGGGAACCAGACAGAGCAGCGTGTCCAGCCGGGCTCGCTTCCTCCCCAGCCCCAGGGGACGTGCGGAGGGAGGGGAGGCCAGAGGCGAGGGCAGTGTGGCCGGCTGCCCAGGCAAGGCCTCTGCAGGGACCCGGGCTGCCTGCCCACGGAGGGCTCCCAGTCCCCTGGGTGTCACCTTGTGGGACATAGGGCCCCAGGACTCCATACTAGACATCAAAGTGGGGGGGGGCCCAGCATCCCCGTCCCTTCTCCTTATATCACAGTCCAGACAGATAACTGAGGCTCCAAGAGGAAACAATATGCCTCTGGTGTCCCCAAGGCTGGGGGAGGGTTGGCTGGTGACAGCGAGGTTTCAGGTTTTCTGTTCATTTGAGGGGTGCCATGAGTATGCCATCCTCCTGTTTTGATATAAAGCAGGTGGCTAGAAGATCATCACTCAGGACTCAATCTCTGATGGATGCCTAGGAAGCCACAGACACGATCTCTGCCCCTGCCCCTTCCTCAGTACCCCTCAAGAAGTGGGGGGACCCAGGAGAGCTCCCTGTTCGTGTGGGAAATCCTAAGAGGCAGGTCAGTGCTGCCTTTTCCCATGGGGTCCCTGTCTGCACAAGGGACCCGTTTGCTCCTGGCATTCCAGGATTTCACATCCTGAGCTCTCCCCTGAGCCTCGGCCTGCTGTCCACCCTGCATTCTCTCCAGCTGAGGTCAGACCCACACAGACCTGGTACCATTTCCTCATTTGCCACCTGGAGTCAGAGCTAGCTAGGGAGCCTCCGCTTCCATTCCTGTGAACGGGCTGATATTCCAGGCCACCTAGGAGAGATAGCTACAAGCCAGGGGTAGACGCGAGGCCGTTCTGCCGTCAGCATGACGGTTCTTGATAAGGGGCACTGAGCTACAAGCCAGCCCCAACTCCACCCTGCCTCGTCTCTCCCCAGGTTGCACCCCTCCCTTCTCCCTCCTCATTTCCCACTTTCCCTGAGAAAGTCCCCAGCAGGAGGAATCTCAAGTGAGACATTTTCATCCAGGTTCCCCCCCGCCAATACCAGTCACAAGCCACCCCCCCCCAATCCAGCATCCTGGCCCTCAGCCCCCAACCACCCAATAAGCTGACCCTCTTCACCACACTGCCTTTATTGGCCTTGACAGCCACAGAGTGAATCCCAAAGAGCCCTGCTTCCCCTCACCCCGAGTCTGTGTGGAGGCCCCCAAGGCCTAGCTGAGTGTTCGCGGCTCCAGTCTTGGCTTCCTGTCCTGCTGGCCTTGGTCTGGGAGGACTGGGTCCTTCCAGGGTGCTCCAGCCCCCGAAGCCAGGCTCAGCCTTGTGTGGGGGGGGACCCCGTGGAGGTGCGGCTTCCTTCACTCGAAGAAGAACATTCCTGGCGCCCGGTAGAGGCACGGGGGCAGCCCCAGCGGGTAGCCAGGGCCTCCCTGGACGGGAAAGCCCCCTGTTCCCCATGGTTCCTTGGGGTCAGCTGGCAGGGGTAGTGGGGCCTGGAGTGAAGCTGGAGGGGTGGCTGGTGCCGGGGCTGTGGAAGCCAAGAGGTGGTCGAGGCCGGGGTCGGCCCCCATGCAGAAATTCAGCGCCTGCAGCCGGCACTGGTAGCTACTCCCGCCGCCTGCCTCGGGGGCCAGGATGGGCGTCGGCGTCTTGCTGAAACCCTCAGCTTCCGAGAAGCCGCTGGGAAAACTAAAGGCTGGGCATGGAGAGGCCGAAGTGGTCCCAGGGGCCTGGCCTGGGCCTGTAGCCTTGGGCATGCACAACTCTTTGGGCTCCATGGGTAGGCGAGGCCTGGCATCAGAGCTTGCTGGGCCCGTGCTGGCTGGCAAGGCACCTTCCGGACCCCCAAAGCTTAGGCTTTTGGGGTCTGGCAGCTCTGACAAGAAAGGGCACTGTCTGTCAGGCGTGGCGTTGGGGACTCCGGGGTCCTGGCTGGTGGCTCTGAGGGCTCCACAGGCTGCCCGGGCAGGGCCCTTGGTGCTCTGGGCACCTGCTCGCCGAGTGAAGCGGCGGCGACGGCGGAGGAAGCTACCATGCTGGAACATGTCGTGGCAGTCGGGGTCCAGAGTCCAGTAGCTGCCCTTGCCTGGCTTGCGGTCATCGCGGGGCACCTTGACGAAGCACTCGTTGAGAGACAGGTTGTGGCGGATGCTGTTCTGCCAGCCGGGCCGGTTGTGGCGGTAGAAAGCAAAGCGACCCATGATGTAGCGGTAGATACCACTGAGCGTGGCCCGCTGCCCCGGGGAGCTCTGGATGGCCATGGCGATCAGGGCTATGTAGCTGTAGGGGGGCTTGGTGGGCTCAGCGGAGGGGGGCAGGGGCCCGGAGGGGGGCTGCTGCTCCATGGTGGCCAGGCACAGCATCCAGGGTTGGCGTGCCGGCACAGCCTGCCTGGGCTGTTAAAGGCCCAGTGGCCCAGCCTCCCAGCCTGGAAAGGCAAAAAGGGGTGGGCCGGCCAGGCTGCCCTCCCTTCCTCCTCACTGCCCCCTCCCACCCCCCCACCCCCCCTCTGCAAGACCCAAGAGGGGCGGGCAGGAGAGGCCAGGGCTGGGAAGCCGTGAGTAGCTCACTCACAGAGGTGGGAGGGAAGGACGGAGAACCCCCTCAGCTCACACAGGCTGGGTGGTGGTGGCCAGGGAGGGACAGGATGTGAAATTAAGTGAGAAACCAAGCCAGCTAGGATCAGAAACCTAAAGAAGCAGAGGCAGAGGAAAACAGACAGGGAAGAGAAAGAGACAGACTTAAAGAGGCAAAGGTGAGGCATCAAATGGGCAGACACAGGCAAGAGGGAGACATATTACTGGGAGAATGAGAATCATTGAGAGACAAAGAACCAATCTACAGACAGACAGAAGGAGCCACAGAGAGACACAGGTAGGGAGCCAAAGTGGGGCAGGGGGAGGGGGCAGGCTGATGTGATGGCAGAGACCACAGGGCAGAATTTGAGCAGAGACTCCAGAGAGTGGGAAAATCCCCAGGAGTCTCCTCTGCAGTCTTGACCCTAGTACCTCCCTCCTTCCCCCGCCCCTCCCATTTCCTTTCCTCCCAGCAGTGCAGAGTCTTGGGTGCCACTCTGTTCCCAGCCTTCCTTCCAAATGGGGTTTGGACACTCGGTGAGGAGGCCGCACTCCCCAGTTCCGCTGCACCCTGGCGCCCTCTAGTGGCTGGTGTGGGGAGGACAGCTATCAGGGCAGAGATGCTTCTAAGCCCCTGGCCTGGTCTGTGTCCCCATTCTAAAATGGAACTGACAAGTCTTTTCTGTCCAGAGCACTGTGAGGGTGTAAGCTGCCTTACACAGAAGCCAGAACTTTAGGGGAGCCTGACATGGGTGTGGATTGTCACGGAGGCTCCCCTAGCTGCAGGCCCAGGCCGAGGGCCAGCTGACAGGCCTTCTGAAGAATGGGTCAGTATCACCCTCTGCCTGCCCACTCCTGCGTGAGTGGGCACCTCCTCCTGGGTAACATTTCCTTCTTGGACCAACCCTGTTCTGGAAGTCCTCATAGCTTCTTTTGAATAGATGAGGCTCAGAGAAGTTAAGTAACTTGCTGGAGATTACACAGCTAGTGAATGATAAAGTTGGAGTTTGAATGCAGGATTTTATAACTTTTGCCAGTCAGGAGGGGGGACTGTCATAGGACCTCAGCCAGAAGACAGACTGGGAACTTCAAGAGAGCAGTGAGAGCAGTTTTGCTCTGTCCTTGGTCTCCAGCACTGGACATTGGAACAGAGGCTTGGAACAGAGTAGGTGTTCACTGAATGTGAAAAACAGCAATCAAATGACTTCTGTCCTTGGTGGGTTCATCGTTTCCCCCTCACATGCAAGTGGCTTCCTGGCTGAGGCTGTAGTTCAGAGGTAGAACGGGTGTGCTCTTACCATGCACCACTGCGCCAGCACAGCACAGCACAAAAGGAGATTTATCATGTTGGTATCTATAAGAGGATTCCTGGACATAAAGTCCGAAATCAGAAAAGGGGAAAAAAAGTTACTCTACCCACAAGTCAGGGGGATCCAGTTCTGCAGAGTTCCCTACACATTTTTTTTCAAGCAATAGTGGGGCTTAGAGAGGGTCTTCCACTTTGACCTCTGACCTGGAGCTAGAAGTATCTGGGAGCCAGCTTAAGTTATCCAAAGACTGCAGGAGCTAGTGTTCAGTGGTTAGCATTGAATGCTCAGGTTTTCCTCTGGGAACTCATGGGTCCCCAAAAATGAGAGAGAGACAGACAGACAGACACTAGTGGCACAGGTGAGAGACAGGATCTGGAGATTCAGAGCCCTTGAGAAGCCAGGCCATATTGCTAAAGGTTTGCTTGACTTTAAACAGCCTGGGGATCTAATTAACTGGTAAACTCAGCTTTGGTGAAGGAAATGTTATATAGAACTCAATGGCTACCTCTGGATAAACAACTATTGGCATTATGGGCTCTCAGCATACAATTTAATGGTTCCTCTGCCAATTTCCGGCGGAGAGGGGGCAGCTAGAGGCCCAATTCAATTTCCAGCTGATGCCCCTTTCCGGTTGCCAGGTCCTTCCTCTGCTCTTGCATGCCAGGACTGTGTGTGCCTGCTGTGGAGAGGGCACATGGGTGGTTGATCTCCAGCCCACCGGTTCAGTGAGGGTGGGCTTGGCTGGGGCTTGGCTCTTCTTGGGAGGCTGTCATTAGTGGGTGTGGGGCCAGGAGCTGCCTGCTAGGGCTGAGTCCTTGGAGGCGTCAGAAGCTGGGGGACACCATCCACCCGGGGTGTTGAGTTGGTGACCCCCTGGGGTAGCTAGGATTATCAGTGTGAGCTGCCAGCACTTCACTTTTCTTTCTTTCTTTCTTTCTTTCTTTCTTTCTTTCTTTCTTTCTTTCTTTCTTTCTTTCTTTCTTTCTTCCTTCCTCCCTTCCTTCCTTTTTCTCTTTCCTTCCTTTCTTCCTTCTTCTCCTCCCTCCCTTCCTCTCCTTCTTTCCTTCCTTCCTTCCTCTTTCCTTTCTTGTTGGTCATGGGGCTTGAACTCATGGCCTGGGTGCTGTCCCCGAGCTCTTTTGCTCAAGTCTAGTACTCTACCATATTGAGCCAGTTTTCTGGTGGTTAATTGGAGAAAAGAGCCTCAGAGACTTTCCTGCCTGGTCTGGCTTTGAACTATGACCCTCCAATCTCAGCCTCCTGAGTTGCTAGGATTATTAGTGTGAGTCATCAGCCTCCTCCTTTCCACATGGGGAGACACACTGGGTGGTCTGACAGTCCTTGAACGTGAGTTCAAGTTCAGTGAGTGCACCGTTGCTCCAGCCACTGTCACCGGTGCAGTGCAGGACCTGGCCGCAGGCAGGGCCAGACACGAGCTGATGGGCCTGGCAGGGCTGACTGCACTCGCACACCTCACGAAGTCCACACTCTTGTGGAGCACACATTGGAGCCAGGTCTTCCAGGAAGAAGGGTCCTCTTTGTCAGTGCCCTCCAGAAACTTGCCTTTTTTGGGTCAGTCATGGGGCTTGAACTCTGGGCCTGGGAGCTGTCCCTCAGCTCTTCAGCTCAAGGCTAGCTCTCTACCACTTGAGCCACAGCGCCCTTTCTAGTTTTCTGGTGGTTTATTGGAGACAAGAGTCTCACGGACTTTCCTGCCAGGGCTGGCTTTGAACTGCACAATCCTCAGATCTCCTGAGTAGCTAGGACTACAGGCGTGAGCCACTGACACTGGGGTCAGATGTTTGCCTTTGTACCCAGCCCAGGTCCGGAGGTGGGGGGGGGGTTGGGAGGAATGGCCTGGATGGAGCCCGCACTGTGTGGAGGGATGAAGGATTGCCTTGCCTCGTCATCTTTTCTCTCCCTCCCTTTCATTTCCCTTCTCCATCCATCCCATATTCCTTGAATTCCTGTCTTCTAGAGAGGGCTGGTGGCGGGGGAGGATGGACAGGGAACAAGATAGATGTCACTGATCAGGAATATGCCAAATGGTGGCTTGTGATAAACAGTAACAAGTAAATAAGGTGACAAATATGGAACACTGGTGGTAATGTACTATGTGCAGAACGGTAAAACGAAATACCTGCCAATTGCCACAGGACCTCAACAATGATTGATAAGATGTAACACTATAAAGTTAATAGATAATGACATAGGAGAAAGCCTTCTAGACACAGAGGATGCCTTTGAAGCAAAACTTAATAGATATAAACTGTAAGACGAGAGAGAGAGAGAGAGAGAGAGAAAACGGGAATGGCAATGTTTGGAACCATCAAGAGACTAAGAACTCAATTGAACATGTAAGGAACTCCTGTGAATCAGCAAGAAACAGATCAGCCCCCCAAAGACCAGGAACGTATTTAGGAGATGCTAAATGCCGTAGTGTTGAGGAAACATGAACACACAGGTGTGAGCTCACCTGTCAGGCAAGTGCAACCATCTGGATCATGTCAGGAGCTGGCGAGGTGGACGTGGGTGTGGGTGTGAGCTGGGCACTCTGGCCTGCCCAGTTAAATTAAGGCGTGTGAACAGATCTGGCCGCAGAAGCCTGAATTCCAAGATGAATCCCCACAGGGGCTTGTAGGGGAGTCAGAGGGAAGAGTTAGCTGTGGTGCTGGGAGTCAGAAGCAAATGGATGTCCATAAAGAGGATGGGTGTATGTGTAATGGAGGCCCACTGTAGAGCCTTTGCAGTACCTCAAAGCCACAGGTTAAATGTACAGAGTACCAACATGTCTCCAAAGCATGGTTGTGGGGGTGGGGAGAGTACTGAACTCTACACCATAATAGGATGTGTTCAAAGTAAGAACATGCCAAAAAAAAAGCCGCATCCTTTTTGCCAGAATACATACCAGAAGACACATAGTAGAATAATTGTGATAGAGGGGTGAAACGAATAAAGAATCTGAAGGGCGTTTGGAAAAAGCTTCTCTGAGGAGGTGACATTGGACTGAAGCCTGAATGGAAAGAAGGCGGGGGTCTGACAGAAAGCTCTGAGAGGGGTGTTCCAGGGAAGAAGAATGGCATGTGTAAAGGGCCTGAGACAGGAAAAGGATTGGTAAGTGAAAGACAGGATAGCATGGCTGGGTCGGGGTTAGAAAAGGGAAGGCATTAGGAGATGTTTTGCTAGCTCTAGGGCTAAGGGGGTTGAACTGCTGAATGAAACTCCAGACCTACTATGCAACATAGGAATCAAACGTTCTTGTGTTGGGATCGTTAAGTAGGTCCTTCTGAGGTTTGTTCTTTGTTGTGAATGTCGTGTGTGTGTGTATGGTGGGATACATAAGCACCAGGTACACAGTCAGAGTCTATTTGTTGCAGCACTTATTTATGGTACTAAAGGTCATGTGACTTGCAGGCAGGGTGGGCACTGGTAGAGTGTGCTCTCACCATAACTACAGGGAGCTTTGT